TATTAAACTTGAATTAATTAATTTTCGGAACTAAATAAACCAACTTGTTATTTTCACATTTAACCAAAACAATAACATATTTTGAATCTGTTATGACTGACTGCTATAGCTATATAGTATGCTAATTTTATATATATAGTATATAATATAGATAACACAGTAACACTACTTGTTTTTGTTTTTTCTGTTGAAAATAGACAAACTTGAAAAGCACCAAACAATGTTTCACGTATTCGAATAAGCCTCGTGAAACTGTAAAACGAATTTTTAATCCAGTACATTTTAATTTGAACATACACAGTTGGTGAACATACACAGTTATAAACTTAAATTAATTAATTTTTGAAACTAAATAAACCAACTTGTTATTTTCACATTTAACCAAAACAATAACATATTTTGTATTTGTTATGACTGACTGCTATAGCTATATAGTATGCTAATATTATATATATAGTATATAATATAGATAACACAGTAACACTACATGTTTTTGTTTTTTCTGTTGAAAATAGACAAACTTGAAAAGCACCAAACAATGTTTCAAGTATTCGAAAAGCCTCGTAAAACTGTAAAACGAATTTTTAATCCAGTACATTCAAAATTGAACATACACAGTTAATTTTGTGATCATATACACATTGATCAATTCATGTGTATACGCTTACTAATTTCAGAATTGAGATGCAGACTGTTCTTTCTTCAGCAGCTAAAATGATGTTCTAAAAGTATTGTAAATTTTTCATTTGCATTAACATATATCTATTTAAAAGTATTGCATTAAATTTTTAACAAATTACTTCTAAACAAAATCAAATGTGGCACGTTAAACTTTGAGTTAAAACTTAAACAGATTTATATATTAAGAATAGATGAAAAACAATGCAATTATTGTTTTCTTATTTGAAATATACTAGTAACAACATTTATCATCATATCTGCTATTTGTAGTGAAACCACATTTTTTCAAGGAGCAAAACTTCATGCAATGAAAATTTTAAACGCCCGGAGAATGCAGATAGTTCAAAAATAAAGCTGGCGGAAAATGCAGATAGTCCAATTTTGTTTTACGCGGAGATTGCAGATAGCTCAATTTTGTTATAGGCGGAGAGAGCAGATAAACCGATTTTGCGCGGAGCCATCGAAACGCTTAATCTTCATGCAATGACACAAATAGGTACGTTTATAATGATTTAAAATATAGTATTTCGACGGTTCGCATAGATCATCCAGACCATATTTTAAATCGTCGGCTCGGGATGCAATTGTCGTATCGCAAATTTATTAGTTCGAAAATTATTATTATTATAGTTGTAGCCGTAAATTTTCATAGAATGTACACATACAGCGAGCAGGGAAAACACCCCACTATAAACAACCAGTTTTATAAATATTTGTTCCAAACTTATTCCACAACCAGGAGTCTAGTCTATTTTTGAAGGAAAGTACAGCGGAGTACAAAGTTATTTGCTCTGGTAGTTCGTTCCAGTATTTTGTTGATCTATTATACAAATGATTATATCTTGGAAGACAATTTGGAACATACTCACGCCTTATTTTAGAATGGTGACCACGAGACATAGAGTTAATATATTTTGGTAATATATTTATTATTAACTATATCAAAACGATGTATTAATTTAAAAATTTAGGTTAAATTGCATTGAAGGCGTCGAAACTCAAGTGATGGTAGATTTAATCTTTTTAGCCTTTCGCAGTATTGAAAATGCGTCAAGCTGTAAACCCATTTTGTTGCTTTGCGTTGAACAGATTCAACCAAAGCCATATCAGCTTTTAAATAAGGAGCCCAAATGGACACTCCATATTCAAGATGTGGTCTTATAAATACTTTATATAATTTGAGAGCCATTTTTTCATTAATGAAAGTGAATGTCTTTTTCAGCATACCAAAAATTTGTAAGGACTTAGAGACAACTGTTTGAATATGAGCGCTCCACTTGAGGTTAGATGTAAAAATGACTCCTAAATCACGTTCTTTAGTAGAGCTTCTTAGACATTGATTGATTTTTTGGTTATTTTGCAGAAAGTAATTGTAATGGGGGCTGTTTTGACCGTAATGAATGACGCAGCATTTTGAGGTGTTTAACTTAAGTAACCAAGTGACCACTCGTATACCAAGCGTAGACGATCCTGCAGATCAACAAAATTAGATTGCGATAAGGTTTTAGAAAAAAGTTTAGTATCATCGGCAAATATCTCAGAAGTTTCAGTGAGTTTTGGAAGATCATTTGTGTAGAGAATGAAGAGGAGCGGGCCGAGAACAGAACCTTGAGGAACACCACTGAGAACATCAACCGATGCAGAGTTGGTATTGTTAATTGTAACGCGTTGCTCTTTAAAAAGGATTTAATCCATTGTAGGAGTTTGCCGTTTATTCCGAAAGATCTTAATTTTAATAAAAGTCTGTTGTGAGGTACAGAATCAAACGCTTTGGCAAAGTCAAGATAGATTACATCAATAAATTGGTGAGATGCTATGGAGGACGAAATAATATCAAAAGTTTCTATTAGGTTAGTTACGCATGATTTATGATACAGGAAGCCATGTTGATTTGCAGAGAGCATTTTATTACCGTTAATGTGCTTTAAAATTTTGTTCTTTACAAGTTTTTCGAAGATTTTACAGGCAACAGATGTGAGTGAAATAAGTCTATAGTTTTCAGCAAGTAATTTATCTCCCTTTTTTTAGATCGGAATAATATTTGCTAATTTCCATTGACTGGGTACTACTCCAAAATTAAAGGATTCATGAAAGATTTTTGTTAATGGAATTGCAAAGCTTTTGGCACATATCTTGAGTATTATGGGATGCAGGCCGTCAAATCCGAAGGATTTGTAAGGGTTTAGATCGGCAAGTTCCTGAATAATATCTGAGATAGAGAAATCCAAGTTTTCATTATAAATGCATTCAGAATGAATACCACTTTATTTAGAAAAGAAAAATTTTCAGAGCTTTCAAGTGTAAACATAGATTCAAATCGAGAGTTCAGAAGATCAACTATATCATGAAGAGCTTCAATAATTCTGCCAGAAGTATCTTTGAGAGAGCGAATTCGATCTTTAATTTTTAGTTGTTTGTTGATATATTTGTAAACGAGTTTTGGGTTGTTTTGGGATTTTGATATTATTTCTTTTTCATGTGCTTTTTTTGCTTTAAATATTTCTGCTTTTACTGAACGATTAAGTCGATTGTATTTTATTTTAAGCTCACTATTTTCCCATTTGGTAGAGCAGTTAATATGCCAAGCGGATTTTTTTGCTCGGATCAGGTTTTTAATATGAGGGGTAACCCAAGGATCATACTTTTTTTTTGTTTAATTAATCTTGGGAATAAAGTGCAAGCAGTGCGATAGTTAGAAATTAGTATACTGAACATTTGATCTGCAGTTTTATGCAGAAATAAAAACTCCCAGTCGATTGATGCAATAAAGTTAGATATTGAATCGTAATCACCTTTTTTGTAATTAAACGATTGAGATTCACTTTCGGTGAACAGTTATGAAACTAAGAATCTCCAAGTGATACTAAAATGACCCTTAGTGTTATTACCTAGCATAGTGCTAGGAGACAAGTTTAAAATAGAATTACTGTTGTAGGTAAATAACAAATCCAACATATTATTTGAGGAACCATAATCAGTCTGGAAAGTAGGAAATGTGATATGTTGTATAAAAAGGCTGTTTTGGAAAATATTCCCGAAATCATACTCGGTAGGATTGTTTGAGTTAAAAGATATAATACCATCGTTAGACCACTTTATATTCGGGAGGTTAAAGTCACCAACTTTAAAATTTTATTTTATTAAAACTAAATATAAATATATATACGTAATAACGTAATTTATGTAAGTTTAAAGTTATGTAAATTTTAAAAATTATTTAATATAACGTTTTATAAAAATCTTTTTTTACTAATATATGATGTTAAATTTACATATATTAGATAATTATTATTTATATATAACTTTAACAAATTTGCGATACGGCAACTGCATCCCGAGCCGACGAAATATCCGGAAAATTATTTGGGTAAAATATACGGAAAAAATCCGAAATATATTTTCCTCATTTTGTTTTTAGATGAATTGTTCATAATTTTTTTCAAACTTTTCTTAGTTTTGTATGAGTGAAAAAGTTAAAACAAAGAAGTATATTGCAGAAATAAAAACTTGCAAGTACGGAAAACGTTTTGGATATCCGAAAAACTTAAAGTTGAGAAAAATATCGGGAAAAAATAATCCTTGGGTTCGCCAATGATATTCAAGTATAAACATTAAAAATGGCGCAACAAGACGGTTAAAAAAACTTTTTCATATTAAATAAATGGCATATTGAAATGAATTAATGAAACTTTAAGCTTTGTAATTTAGAAAACATTTTTGATTTTTTAAAAATTTTTGCTTTGCTTTAGTTGTCTTTTTAATCAATTGTTGTTATATTTGAAACAAGAAAAGCTTATAATATTACTTATTATATTAATTGCTTTTAATATAAAGTGGTTATATTTAAATACCGAGTTTTGATAAAAATCTTTCGTTAAATAATTGCAATAACTAATGGTTAAAATTACTGTTGCGTATCTTTAGACTAATTCTTTTTTTAATGTTTTAATAAAAATCATTTCAGTTAATTTTGTTTTTTATCTAGTGAAATTTTTTTTTTTTTTGTCGGTTACAAGCTTACTCTTGAGACGACTTGCTGTGATGTTTGCGGCTTGATGAACTTCCATCTGTTTTAAACCTCCATGATACAACTGATAAATATTTAAGTGAATAGAGTATACACGTAGAAAATTTATTTATTTACAAAAGCGCACTAAAGTAATAAAGGCGTTACACGTTTAATACGTTTGATAGGTTCATTTATTATTAGTTTTTTTTAAATACGTTTAATGTTTGAATTTTTAACTAAATTAGGGCTAAAAAGGAACATAACGCTATTACAAGAAGGTAAATGGAGTAAGTGAATGAACATAGAAAAGTGATTAAATTTTTTTTTTTTTAATTATAAAAAACGAACAATGAAAGACAAGAGATAATTCAATAAAGTCAATTAAAGTTGAATAAACCCACACTTCTCTCTAATTTCCTATAACCACAACACATAATTCTCTAAATAATTCACTCTAACATCTCGCCATCCCACAATTCTTCAACTTTTTGGCCAGGTGTTAATGCCCAATTTTGATCAAGATAACGATGTCTGATAGTAATACCGTTTATTTCTTGTAAATCTTCTGGGCTTAAATTAACTTTAAGAGTATCAAGATTTTCTTTAATACGTTCTTCTCTAACTGATTTTGGGATAACACCAAATCCAGTGGCGAGAGCCCATGCTAACAAAACCTAACAATAAGATAATAATGCATTTAGAAAATCTGTTTTAAAACATTAAATAATTATTTAAATACTCTGAACGAATCTAGAAGATACAGCATTTCTCTAAAGAACAAAATATTAGAATAAATTACTGCAAAATGACCAATATGCAAAAGTTTAGTACTGTAAACTGGAGAACCTGCTTTTTTGAAGAATATTATTGGCGTTGACAACTTGATGGGGATGGAATATTTGCGTGGGGATGAGGATGGTTTCTGCCTCCATATCACTCTCTAATACAGCATAAGTAGGGGAGAACCTTAATGAATGGGACAGTTTTCGTAAAATGCATTTTTTTAAGTTGATAAGATTGTTTAAAAATTACATTGAAAATAGCTTTATAACTGTTAACTATCGTACTATGATAAACAAAAACAAAAAAATTGGTTACGCATGTGAGTATTGGTAAAAAGAGTTTTATTTGACCATGGAATTTGTCCAATTCATTGAGAACTGCTCTTTGAATGGGACAAATATAAAGGATTGAAAAATTAGAAGAGGGCTGTAGTAAATTTTAAGCCAGTCAAGCAGGAAAGGTAGTTTATACAGTTAGTGATGCCGAAAAGGCTATTTAAATGGTATAAATGTACACAATAGGGTACAAAGTACGACACAACAACAAATCAACTTATTAGATTTAAAATGTCATTTCATTCATGTTAACAAACATAAAAATAAAATAATTTATCCAAAATATGTAAATACATAAAATTATGTGACCAAAATTAAGTTGCCTAAATATTTTTTCCCGCTTTTTTCACAACAGTTCGTTTTGACATGTCCCATTCAATAATCGTTATTTTGTCCCATTCAATAAGCCTCTCACTATATCCACAAATGACAGGACAGGCTAAAAACAGCAATACCTAAACGCAAATGCTTTACAAATGTAAAAAGTAGAGACATTTGGGTGTTTAAAAACGGAGCTTGATTTTCCATAACTTTAGTAATCGCTGTAAAATCAGAAAAAAAATTGTTTTTGAAAATTACTTATTGTTTTTCAAAACACAATAACATCTAATGTCATTATGTTTAGACCATTATAGAAATAAAAATTTGGTCTGTTGAATACATGTGTCAAACACTTTTTACCACAGGAGCTTGGATAGCCGACCGTAGATACTTCTATACATCTACGGGCATGCTATTTTTCTTTAGAATTAAAAGAAAAGTATTTACCTAATTTAGTATGATGAAGTGAGTTTAGTAAAAAAATAAATTTACAAATAATTTCTACGAAAAAGGCTGTAAAAAGTTTAATAAAAAGGTATAAGTTAAGGTTAAGACAAAGTTTAAGTTATAAATAATATATTAAAATATATTTACTTAACTTTAAAACATGTTTAATATCAATACATATTTTATGAAATACTCAAAGATTCATATAATTATAAACAAAACAGCTTCACTGAAACTAAATAAAAATAAAGTAAATATATATTTACCTGAGCTACAGTGGCATTATTTCTTTCAGCAACTTTTTTAACAACCGGATCTTCAAGCAATACAGGATCTTCACAAGTATATTTGAACATACTTGGCCGATTAACGTTTCCCAGAGAAGTATAAGCCATTATTGAAATTCCTAAACAAAGTTTACATTAAATTGACAACAATAATTAGACATACATATTTATATATTTTAAATTATTTGTGATAATGAGTTTGTTCAATGTATTTTAAAACCACTGGTCAAATATTTACAAAAAAATTGAATATAATTAAAACAGACTGGAAACCATTATGATGCTTTTTGCTAAACTGTTAGTTTTCTGTTTATGACAGATGATTTTAACTATGTAATTTAATGTTGTTTTATTAATGACAGACTTTAATCTTATAATGGCATGTTTAATAAAATTTAAACATGGAACTAAAGAAACTTAAAAACATTAAATTCTTTTTTGTTGCTCTAATAATATGAAATAACTTTTTCAAATTTCTAATTTTAATGCTAATTATTAAGTTGAGACAAAATAACTAATATTAAAATACTATTAACAACTATTAACTTTAAACATTTTATATATAATATTTAAAATATTAATAGTTATATAATTAAGTAAAAAATTAGACTAGAAAACAACCAAAGAACAGAAGGTA